GTAAGAATACACATAACGCACACATGCTTACACTTCAAACATACAGTAGCTTCCTAGAACACTACATGTATCATAAGCCGCATCCATCTGGCTACAACTTTCCAACCGATTCCAGAGAACTCGCCTTCTACCACTTTGCAATAACTCACAAGCTGCAACCTTTCTCATGCCCACTGCCAAGCAAACTTCAGGGTTTTTTCAAGGTAGAGTGCCATATTTACTGTAGTATTTATGTATTTCTTAGCCATTTAACATGTGTAAAATTATGCTACCATTTTTTATTAGATTCCTATCTTTTTTTATATGTCACTGATGAAGTTTTTGAGAATTGTGCTTCTAACCCCATTTTCATTTCAACTTTTTATTATAACCATAGCACAGTGATTTTTAAGAAGGTCTATGTTGCATTATAGCAGAACTGACTGTACCACTTAATACTCTAGAATTAATCCATTTCTCTACATTTCCACTGTTAATCAGTTCAATCCTGGTAACTATCATCTTTCACCTGGGCTGTAGCAGTGGTCTAATTCTGTGGTTCTCAACCAGGGACAGTACCTCCCCACTCCCACCCCTGTCTAGGCCCCTGGAAATGTACGTGCATATGGTGGGGATGGAGCGTTTTCGATTGTCACAATGACTTGGAGAGAGGCACTACTAGCCTTCAGTGAACAGGGGGACAAGAATGCTACAAGTTCAGCAATGTTGTCCATACAAGGATTTCTCCCACCCCAAGATGCCAACTATAGCCCCATTAAGAAAAACCAGTACTGGGCGCCTGGGTGGCTCAGTCGTTAAGCGTCTGCCTTCGGCTCAGGTCACGATCCCAGGGTCCTGGGATCGAGTCCCACATCGGGCTCCCTCCTCGGCGGGAAGCCTGCTCTCCCTCTCCCACTCCTGCTGCTTGTGTTCCTGCTCTCGCTATCTCTGTCTCTGTCAAATAAATAAATAAATAAAATCTTTAAAAAAAAAAAAAAGAAAGAAAAACCAGTACTGATCCCCCCATATCAACACTCAGCTCTCTCTACACTGTAGCCAGAAAGAGCTTTTTCAAAATGCACATCAGATGACACCTCACCTATGTTTAGTACCCTTCAACAGCTTCCCCTTACCCTAAGGATAAGGATCAAAATCTAAAGTGTGTGTGGCCTCCCCCTCAAGTTTCATCCCTCGCCACTCTCCTCTCTTCCCCACATTCACTATGTTCCAGGCAGTCATTCATTCAACAAATAATGACTAAACATCACTGTGTGCCAGGAACTATTCAAAGTGATGAGGACAGAACAGTGAACAGAGGAGACAAAAATTCTCCACTCCTCATGGAACTTGCATTCTAGTTCCATGAAGCTGCCAGGCTTCTCCTTACCTCAGGGCCTTGCCACATGCTTATCAGCCAATTCCTACTCATCCTTCAGATCTCAGCTTAGACACCCTTCCTCAGGGAACCATTCTCTGACCCTGCCCCCCTAAGTCAGGCCCCCTTATGAAATGATGCCATGACTCTGGACTACAATTATAATTATTTAATATCCATCTATTCTGTTATATCTCCAGGCCTAGTACAGTACCTGGAACACAGAGGGCACTCAAGAATACGTGTTTACTGATGAAGATGTGTATGTTTGTTTGTTTGTTTGTTTGTTTTTATTCTTATGTTAATCCCCATACATTACATCATTAGTTTTAGATGAAGTGTTCCATGATTCATTGTTTGTGCATAACACCCAGTGCTCCATGCAGAATGTGCCCTCCTCAATACCCACCACCAGGCTAACCCATCCTCCCATCCAAAGATGTGTATGTTTTTATATATATATCCATGTGTCTTCATGCTTTATGAATATGTATAAACATTCGTGCCTGTGTATTTCCATATATTTCTGAAGGTGAGTATGTGACTATGTATTTACACCCATATGTATGAATGGAAACATACATACAATTTTGGATATGCCTACTTGGGTATATTCATTCACTTGAGTAAACACGTGTATATTCATGCACCTCTGTGTGTGTGTGTGTATGTGTGTGTTCTTCTGGCTCCTCAGTGACAGTTCTGACCTCCTGGAGGGAGCTGGGAGCAGGGCCCCATGTCTTCTCTAAGCTGACAGTTCAATAAGAGTGTAAGATCATTCAATGATACTCCAAATGTCAGCAAACACTGGCTTGCTCCACTCTGCTACAGGGGAAGTGGGTGGAGACAGGCGATGTGGCAGCCTGGCCACTGAAAGGCTACTCTTCCCTGATGCAGTGCACACCATTTCTGGACAGGAGAGGCCTTAGGAAATGGGGATGGTGAATTCAGTCCCAGTTCACTCAATGGGCAAGTCTTGGCAGCCAAGCAGACCAAGACACCCCTGCCCCTACTTTTTCCATGGGCAAAGTTCTGCTTGCGGAGTTGAGGAGAAGAGGAAAAGGAAGGAAAGTAGGGAGGAAAGAGTAAGATCAAGGACAGGAGACGGCCCTGGAGACAGCCAGGGCCTGGTCACACAGGGGGAAAGAAGGGCATGGAGTAAGACGTTACACAATACCCACGCAACCCTGGCAATGACCTCTCTGGCTTGCTTTTATTGTTATTCTTTTTAAGGGAGCGGGAATCTTTGTGCACCCTGCACTAACCCATGCTGTAAAAAGGTCAGAAAGATCACCATGCCCCTGGACCTCCAGGGCCCTGCAGCCTCTCTGTCTTGAATGGCTGCTGGCAAAGACTGGCCCAAAGTCCGGAACTGAGTCATCTCTCCTGCTGGGCCCTCAGGCACATCTGGAACATGATGTGTCTGGAGGGCAGAGAGGAAGGGATTAGACCCCTCTAATGCCATTCGCCTCATGCCACTCTTGTTTTTCCTAGATCTGTTCAGTTTACCTACCAAGACACAGTCACAAGGCTAACTGGGAACAGAGTCTCCAGTTCCCACTTGTACCCATTTCCCTCCTATGGCTCGGCACAGTCTGGCAGAGAATCACGCTGAACAGGCTCAGGACAGCTTGCCTCCAATCCCAGTAGCATCAAGGTAGCCTTGGGTGGCAATGTTAACACACGGGTCGGCTGTTTTCCTGCCTCTCTGCTAAGGAACCTGGAGGCAGGGAGCTAGCCAGACACCAAAAAGTCTAGTGAACTTCACAGAGCAATTGTTCATGGTCAGCGCCTGCCTCGCCTGGCCGGGCCTTCACATTACATTTGCTGAGGCCAGCAAGCAGCCTCAGATGCACTCTGACAGCTGACATGCTGTCTTCCAGGAGCACAGACCTAGCCACACCCTCGTGCAGAGCCCCGCCAAGCCCTGCGTGAGCAGGCCTGTGGAGCCAGCTCTCAAAGATCAGTCAGCCAGCCAGCCAGCCACAATTCACTGAGCACATACTCTGTTCTTAGCCCTGATCTGGCCACCTCAGACACAGAGAGGAACCAGCCTCAGTCTCCATGCTCCAGACGGACAGGTCTGTGAGGAAACAGATTGGGACTCAGTTTCAACGCTCAAAGATCACTGATATCCAAAGGGTCGAGGAGTCTCAAGACAAGAGACTGACTGCTAACCTTGTCAGAAGAGGTGATACCTGAGCTGAATCCTCAAGAAGAGCAAATGTGCCTTATGAAGATGACTGGGGGACGCTTCAGATAGAGGTAAGGCCACAGGCCAAGACCTGGAGGAAGAACAGAGCCTGGCCCCCTCAGCCAAAGATGGAAGGTAGTAAGTAGCTATTGCTCAGGTCCAAGGGAGATCAGCTGGAGAGGTGGGTAAGGGTCAAAGTACAAACAGGCCAAGGACCAAGCGTAAAGAACCTGAGTACCAGGGGAAAGCAAAGGAGTTCACAAACAGCCATAAAGAATGGCTGCCCTGAGACTGACGGAACAACGTCCAAAGTCATTCTCCTCTACTGTTCCTCCACATGTTCACTTAGCTCCAGCCCATACACACACCAAAAGCATGCTGCTCCCCTGGAAAGTCTTCTCTCCTCTTCAGATTCATATTCCACCTTCCTTGAATACCCAGTTCACGACCCAAATCCTCACAATACCCTTCAATGACGGCTCTCTTCTCTAAGTCCCCCTGGGAGCCACTACTCTGACCCCTGGTGTGTTCTCTCTTCTCTGATTTTCTGGGAGTCACTAAGCTGCTGAGTGGCATGGGGTTCTTAAGGCTGCTCGAGGGCTGTTGCCCTTACATCAGAATTATGGGGGTGAGTCTCTCTAGTGGACTGGGCCTCCTGGAGGAATGATCGCAACAGAGGGATAAGAAGGATCTCTATCTTGGGAGTCTATTCCTATACCTCCTTTCTTCTGCTTACCTAGGACGTATAGCACACACTAGGAAAGTACAGTTTTCTGGGTAATTCATGCTCTGCCAGGCCCCAATTTCATAGCCACATGGGGTCCCTCCCAGCCCACAGCCCCAGCACCCACTCCCCAGGTACTTGGTGCTGCATTAGGGCCAGTCTCCTTCCTCATACTCAAAGGGAATTGGGCTGTAGTTTCCATGGTCCTTGTCACATGAGCAAGGCTCTGCTAGGGCGAGGCAGGACCAAAGCCAGCCTGAACCAATTCTACCTCCCAACCAGAGGGTGATACCAGAGCCACTCAGGACAGTCAGAGGCCACACTCATGATCACATCAAAGAAAGATACTTTCCCAGAGGCTCAGCTAGCACCACATTTCTCCTAAAGACAATGCAGCTCAGCCCAGTGATTTAGTTCTAAGCAAGAACCTAGAAAGTCCCCTTCACTGGGACTTCTCTGCACATCTGGATGACACCACATTGGATAATGTTATACTCTACCCTGCAGCCTGATCCCCAAACAGCTCCTCACTCCCAGAAAGGTCCACACCCTTCCAGTGCATGTTAGCTAGGGAAGAGGAAGGAGGGATGTTGAGAAAAGAGAACAAAAAGAAAAGGAAAGAGATGACAACAAAAAGAGAACAGAGATGAATAAAGAAAGCAAGGGGGGAGGGGATCTGAGGACAGGAGACCCAGAGGAAGCACCCGAATGGTGCTCAGACACAGTACCTTTTTCAGATTAATCCACTGCTTGAAGTAATCCGCCACTGGCAAGCCCAAGTACTGGCACTGGCCTGGGAGCCTACAAGAAAGGGAAAAGAGAACAAGTTGGGAACACCCATGTCCCAGGTATGGAGTCTGAATCTAGGAAATGCAAACACACCTCCTCAGAAGGCTAACCCATTAGCCACGGGTCCCACCCTGCCCAAGAAAGGCACCCCACCTCTAGCACCCTGGACACTGGGTTCCAGATCTAAATGTGAGCACCTAGAGCCTCTATTCGAACTAACACCAGCAGCTACTATTTTCTGATGGCCTGCAAAATGCTAAGGATCTTACTTGCATTGGCATGTGATTCCTCAGCACGATGCTGGGAGGCATTGTTGCCTACCTTTTACAGATGAGAAGATGAAATTCAGAGGGGTCACCGAAAGTCCCACAGCTAAAAACTGACAGTACCAAGAACTGAACCCAGGTCTATCTCACCCCAAAGCCTACGTTCTTTCCAATGCACCAGTTTGTAGTTGTTTTGTTAGAGCAGAGAGGCAGGGATCTAAGATGGGAGGAGAGAGAGGGGAGCATGTGAGTTGGTGATAGCTGGGCAGGGGCTCTAGTTCACGTTTAGGTCTCTAGCAAGAGGTTTTCTGCTGATAGAGAAGAGACCATGCAAAAGGATAAGAGGTCAGAATTTAAACCAAAAGCCCTTTCTTATTATTTATAAGTGGTCTTTTCCCTCTATGTGTACCCACATAAATCCATTCAACCAAACATTTACTGAAGTTTAATAACAGACAGGCACTTGGGGCTCAAAACGTTAAGACTTAGCCCCTGCCTCCAAGGGGTTCACAATTTGTTCAGTGGGATGGACAATAAAAGAAATAGACTAAACAGCCTTAAGTTGGAGCACTGGGATACATGAAAAATGGAGGAAAATACCAGAAATAGTAGCTGGGAAAGAACATAGAACTTTCTTGCTAAGAGAAGAGCTTGGCCATAGGCAATGGAGAGCCTCTGAAGAGTTGTGATTTACAAAGATTTATCTGGGGACGACAAAAACAATACCCTGAAAAAGCTGGGTAGTAGTCCAGAGCTAGACAAAGGCTGTAGAAATAACAAGCAAGGAACAGACATGAGATGTGAAGGAGGCCCTGGCAACCAAATGGGATGGGGGGGGCGTCCAATGAGAGGAAGCAGTAGAGCCCAATTCAAAGGTTTGTGGCTTGGCTAGCTTCATGTTACTCCCTGAGTCAGACACAGAGAGGGAGGCAGGGGCACCGAGAGGATATCGGACACCCAGAGCAAAACAGTATTTAGTCAATTTTATGACTTTTTAAATTCTCTGCCCAAATCACAGTGGACTGCTCACTGCCTCACCCCTGGTGCACCACTGGACGGAGGCACAAGTTTAGGAATGCAGTTTTACGTACATGCATGGCACATGGTGGGCACTCAATGTCTGCTAAGTTCAAAGTGCCTAGGAGACATGTGGCAGGGGAATGATATCTACAGAGGCGGCTGCATATCCAGTTTTGAGCAGAGGTCTGGACTGGAGATATAAACTGCTAAATCATTAATGTAATTTAAATGAAATTAAAGCCATGAGAGTAGATCAACAGGGAAGAGTATGGAATGAGATGAGCAGAAGGCCCAGGCTAATGTCTCGGAAGTGTTACTGAGCAAAAATGAAATCAGGTCACCCTAGAAGACCATCGCCACACACATGGAACTCACTACTTTATTAGCAATCAGCCCTAGTTTTGGACTCCTTCAATTCTAGAATATCCTTTCTTAATACTAAACTAAAATCTGTCTCTCTATGAGTCTTTAGAAACTAGAGAGTGAGACTTCCATCTCTTCCTTACAGAATACTCCCAAGATCTGAGGGCCCAGGAAGCTTTCCCCAGAGGTCCCTTCTCATCTCCTTCCAGAATTCCACAGGAGATAATGTACCATGAGTCAGGACTCACCCAACCTACCCTCATTCCTAGAGGACAGAGCTCCTGGACCTTTTTCAGGGTATCAGATACCCAGAGTCACTCATGCTCTTTTGACCTCACTTTATATCAACCTGTGGTCAACCTAAACAACCTAAAAGCACACTTCCCCTTTCTGGAATATATACAACTGATTTTTGAGCTTAAATTACAGGTCATTAGTGTCAAATGCCACGGAGTGGTCAAGCAAAATGACAGCTGAGAAAAACCCAATGAATTTGGCATCAGTGGGTTGGTGGGAGCAGAGGGCAGCATGCAATATGTCAAACTGAGTAAGAGATAAGAAACTGGAGACCACAGTATAAACTCCTTTTTGAGAAAGTCTGGTAGTAAGAATCCAGTTAAGATGACTGGTTCCACCCCAGAAAGTTCCAGGGCAGTCCAGCCTCCCCTCCATTACTCCATTATTTGGCAGACACTGAGAGGAAAATGATTCCCATGTTTCAGGCAGTACACTAAGAATTTACTTTTCTAAGACCCGAGATATCTTACTTGAAGGGGAGGTTCCTCTCAAATATTCAGGTGGCACAGGGACATTAATTACAACCAGTCAATTTCCCAGAAGGGAAGTTCTGGCTGAGACCACGATGAAGGAGTATCCAGGTAACACGTCCCCATGAGGGAACCAAGGACCAAGAATATAAGGATACTAGGCAAGGTTTTGAAGGCTGAAAGATAGCCTTAGGAGCTACAATGTGGTTGCTTAAGGAGAACTGTATTGTTTGGATAACTTTATTTCCTTCCATTTTTCTTTCATGTTCCCTATCCTTGTTATTTGTGAAAATGCTTGCTGAGCTCAGCTATTGTTGAAAAACCACATTAAGGTCTGTGAGTGAAGGGGCCACCAGAAGCAGCAGAATCTGCAAAGAAACAGGTCAGGGGGACCGGCCAGCAAAAGGCAGGGGTCCTGGGCCACCTACCATATTCTCCCTTAGCCATTCCCAGTTTCTTCTAGATGACACGGACCAGAAGTCCTATTGGCTGTGGTCAACTCTGATCGGGGGCACAGGGCGAGGGGGTGGCGGCTCCCTCTTCAGCAAGATTTCCAAGGTAGACATTTCTACCCAGGTAGGAAGGGTCTGGCACAGTAAAATCCTACCTGATCCTCTCGGAGGAAGACCTATATCAGAGGGGCCACACCAAAGACAGACTAGACAGACCATCAGGCCGGTTGGTCAGCCTCAGACACAGCTCAGCAGCAGCCCTGAGTGCTATCTGGACCCCGTGGCTGACTGAAGCAGAGGAGGGCGGGACTATAATTCTCACTTAGGCTCCAGGACTTGCAGGTACACATGCAGTTTGCAGACTCACAGGCATTCAGGTTGCTGAGTCCTCCAGTCTGCGGCTGGTCCTAGCCCTGTGACTCCAAGACACAAGCAGTCGAGATGCGGCAGGGTCCAGGCCCATCTTCACAAGAGACACAGAGCCAAATGCCAGAACTTGAACTTCCAGGTGCCTCATGGGAAGACAGCTACACATTTCTATGACAGAACCCTCCCCAGCTCAGAGAGCACCAAGAGAAACTATGAGAAAGGTAGGTCAGAGTAGTTGTCATCCCCTACATAAAACAGGAAAGTGATGCCCAGAGAAGAAAAAGGATTTGCTCGATCACACAACAAGCCAAGGGGAGAACGAGAAGTAGGATCTCAGCCTTCCGACTGTGCAAGGCATCAGTCATGCACAGGCACTCGGAGTTCTTTACAGTCCCTGGGAAGGCAAGGGCTGGGGCCTTAGAGAGGCAGGTAGCATGGTAAGCATGGTGGTTACTGCTCAAGGTCTCACCTGGCTCCAGGGTTCTTAGGAGCCTAAGGCTAGGGTCCGTGAGTACCAGGGAGTACATGGTTCCACCAATTTGGAAAGGAAGAGGGCAAAAGTTCCCCTGACACAAAGGGTCTGAATGCCGTGAGTTCCTACCAGATACTGATCCCAGGAAAAGAGCCACTGGCAGTGGGCCCTGGACTAGCCTGCGGGCATGAACGTGCAGGCAGGTTTATGGTGCCCAGGTCTCCGTGCAGCTGGAATCACTGGGCACAGAGCTCCTCAACTGCCCAAACATCATCTGGCCATGCTTATTACTGCTGCCCAATGAAATTTTATGCACCGAGTCCACAGGTGTGATTTCCCCTTCTTTATGAGGGTCGGAATGACATCACTGATGGCCAATAGAAAAGAGCCAATTATGTCCAGGCCATAAAAAGGAATGAGATTTTTTCAACCAAATCAAAACTTCCTTCAGCTTCATGAATGCAAGGGGCCCCCTTTAAGGAAGGGCCCCCCAGTCTTGCATGGGCTCTAAACTGAGGGATTACAATCGCTTTCCAAATACTGGGGGCCAAGGGCTGGAGAGGGACTCTGCCTTCAGCGTTTACCATGTGACGCTGCTCCTATCACACTGGGCCCTAGGGTCATCAGCATAGAACATCAAACCCTCCTCAAAGATGCCTGACTAGCTCCTCACTACTTCTAACTCCAGGCAGGAGTTAGAAAAGATGGGGTATTCCTCAAGTTCCCTTATTACTCCTTCCAAATAACAAAAAAGAAAGGAGAGAGCCCTCCCCCACTTAGAAAGAACAGTGTGGGAGGAGGAGGGATACAAGAAACTGCCCCCTCCAACAAGCGTAGGGCACAAAGCATAAGGAACCCGGCCCTCCCCACACACCCCTCATCCAGCCCCACCACCTGCAGCCCAGTGCTGGGGCTGGGCCCAGACAGCCCTGATGGCAAACAGGTGTGACCAGCTCGGCGCCAGCCAAGGCAGGGGACTAGCTCATTAAGGGAACACCACCCTCGCTAATGGGTAGGGGCAGGATGAAGCCATTGTGAACAGGAGCTCAGCTTTGAAGATTAGGTGACGCAGATCTGGGGGGCTCTGCTAAAACTGCTAGACTTGAGTTGAGGAGGCCAGCAGCATCCATGGAGGTCTGACAGATAGACTGGCAGACACCAACAGCCAGGACCAGGAGGAGCGCAGGCACCAGCGCTGGGAAAGGTTATGCATGCAATTCCTTCTGTGCTTTTCTCATTCTCTCTAAGTCTTAAGGGCAACTCCAAATCAGAGAGATACAGGACACTCTCACTTTTAGCAGAC